ATAACCCCCTGGTCAATATACTGGCTTAGGATTATGGGAGAGGCAACACCAGATTGAGGAAGGTTGTGTTAAATACTCAGACACGTACTTTATAGTAGGTTCTTTCCCTAACGTCACTGGTAAATGGTGCTGCTTCTGCATGTAAAAGTCAGTTGATTATTAATATATAAAGGTATTTCCAACTTGATTTTGCAGTTTGCAACAATTTACTCTGCCCACCCCTACATATATTTCCAAGGATATCTACAATTTCAAAAAGTTCATATCATCTTCTAATAATCTAGACTAATTTCATTCTATTACTTATAGAATCTAATTTCTGGATGAATAACCTATTAACACTGTGGTAGAGCACTGGAAGCTTCTGGTTGAACCCAGCCTCAACTACAATGTGACTATTGTAACCCTACATACTTATTAGGATGTTATCACTCATTTCTATGAATTGTTATGCCAATCCAACAGCCTACTGGTAATTTCAACAAACTTCCAATAGGACTTCTGGTTTCCAAAAAGCTTCCCTGTCTGTGGTCTAACAACAAACTGATTTATTCTCTAAATACACCTGTGTGATTTTGTCCACACTGAAGCACAGAACTTGTAATAGTGAAGTATGACAACAAAATGCCATTGCTGCCAAGCAGTGGAAGAGTACTTATAGAGGTATAGTACTCATGTGTAACCCCACAAAAAGCATTTTTATCATTCCCAGATCAGATCCATGCCTGCATAATCTCACACATTCTCTATTTTGGCATTTGACATGTATTTCCAGTTCTAACCCTCTTCAACTGGAAACACACTGAATCTCTCTGCAGTGAATATGATTTATGCTATGATCTTTCTGCTGCTGTACAAAATTGAGCAGATCATGAAGGGTACCATGGTAGCAAAGCTCCATGGTGGTTTTGCAGGACCCATGTAGAGAGTAAGGAAGATGACAAGAAATAGGCAATGTTACATAGGTCAAAGGGGCTGAAACATTTTTTAGGTGCAGAGAAATGGAATAACATTTGGAAATGACTCAGGCAGACACTGTCCTGATTCAATGGAATATAAGAAGAGGGAAGAGGTATAGAATAATCAGACTTGCAAAATTCTGTTATTATAGCCAAATCTCAATAAAATTAGTTTTAGCCTTCCTGTGGAGCTGATTTCCTGGTTTGGTCTACCTAGTGGGACTGATAACCCAATCGCAACCATTCAGAAGTTTCTTCCTTGATTATCTGCAGCCAACACCCAGATAAGCAGAAAGCAGCAGATAAACAATCAGAAAATAAAAAATATTCTAATCAAGGAATTGTCAGGAAGAAATCACCCCGCAACCAAGATTGCAGGCAAGCTACTATATATAAACAACCAGCATACTATACTCTCTCATGCACTGATAATGTTACCTGCTGTAGTTTGATAATGTAATAACTACCAATAGAAGTGAATATGTGTAGCTCAGGGTTGAACTGTGGAGTCCTTGCAGTTGTTTGAGCTTGCAAATGTTTGCAAGAAAACAACCAAGCTCAGAGAACCCCAAGGACTCCACAATGAAACAACTGCAGAAAAACAACTAAGTTCAGAGAACACACGAACCCAACAGTTCAACCCTGAGCTATTCATATACTCTACTCTTCAAATTTGTAATAGCTTCACTGCTGTCTTCCAACACTCCAGTACTTCAAGGAAATAACCAATTCTTCCATATCTTAATCAGCCCACTACTTTTGCAGATGCCGCTGGGGACTGATTCACATTAACTATATTGCATGCAACCAAATGCCTTCTCACATAGCAATCTATTCATATATCAGGGACATATAGCTACGGAAAACAGTTTTCCGAAAACACACAACTTAATAAAATTCAGTGTATTGATTAAACTCTATGGCGCAAATTACAGTATAGCATTTAACCTGAAATAATTTAAACTTGCCATCAACAAGCCCAAGTGAAGCAAAAAAACTAACGTAAGTAGTAAACATTTATCATTTTACCCACACACATAGGTAAATTAATCAGTATATCATTCTCAGCAGCCACATTTTAATACAGAACAATAGATCTTCAGCATAAGACTAGAAGTCTATTTTGAACAAATCTAGGTCAGGTAAAATAGTCATTACTCAGGATTACAGGAGTTCCTTTGGTCCTTGAGAGAAAAGTTGTTTTGGTTCACACTCTAAAGCATTCTTTACAAGCATGGATCATGATGCAACATGCTATAACTCATCTGAACTGGAGGCACACGCTTCAATACAATTTGCAATAAGAAAAAAAGCTACCACTTTCCCCTCTTTGCCTAAAGGTTGCTTGAGATGCTGCTTTGATCTCACCATGCATGCAGTTGATAAATGGCCAGGATTGCTTGCAAGAGCAGTGAAGTGGAGCAGCAGTTATAGGTATCCAATTGTCTCACTCTCTGGGAAATGGTGGACATTTTTTCCAGAATGGATCATTTTTTTTCCAGAAGTAAAGTGAATGGAAAGTGACAAAGAGTTAATCCATTAAAGAGAGCTTCTATCATCTTGCTCAAACCCAAGTCACTGAATATAAAAGAATAAAGTGATTAGAGAGAAGCCAAATATGATTTTTGAGGCAGGGAAAGAAGCCATAAAACACCAGGGATGTTGTCCATCTGTTATGCAGGCCTCTAACTTTTTTCTTCCAGAACAGAACAGAACCAGACGAAACTGCTCCATAGATAAGATGCTTCTGAATTAGGTTTTTATGGCACAATTACCCTACTTTATTTACCTCCTGTTTTCCCACAATTTCTGCTTTTTTGGAGGGTGGGAGGGTAATAACCAATCTACAGTATTAAGAAGAAAAATATGGAACAGACTTTTGGTTAGTAGTACTTCTGTCCAGATAGCTCTTCTATCCCGGATCAATCAATAATATTCACACTACAGCATGTTTCGTTTAAGCCATGGATGAGCAATGTGGTCATCCAATTGTTGTTAGATTGCAACTTGCATCATTCCTCACAACTGGCCATGATGGCTAGAGCTGGTGGACATAAGGATTCAACTAGATCTACATTGTCCCACTGCTTATCCCTATTTTAATTCATATCATACTTAGCACATCATTCCTAATGTTTCCAGACACAAGTGACACTTCAGAATATGGGATTTTCAAATCTCAAGACAAACAGGCTGCAAAACATTTAATCCATATCTTTCCAGAGGTTTCCTATTACTGTGTGTCAAATATGTAGACATTCTGTCTTTCCTTCCTATAGATTTTTTTTTTCTAATTCTGGTAAACAAATAACTGTGGAAAGAGCTGGGAAGACCCTTGATGATTCCCAGTGTAAGGTAACAACTTCTGGAAACCCCTTTAAAGTAAAATTTCATAGCAATGGAACTTATTCTAGAAGTACCCATAATGATTTTAACTGTCTTTAATACAAGCGTTTAAACTGTTTTTCATACATGATGTTTTTATTTCAGGTTGATACAGGGCCAACCTTTTTGGTCCTAGTGCAAAATAAGCAAATCAATAAATTAAAACATGTGGACTAAAAATCAAATATCTTGCTCATTGCCTTTTTACATTTATCTCTGATTAGAAAAAAAAAACGTGCAGTTTGCTTTTTCCTTTTCTTGGTTAAGGTTAGTCATATTTTTCCTCCAGCTCAGCTACTACTCTTTGTAATAGAAAGAAAAACAATTGATAGAAATACATAGGGATTTACTAGTGAAAATGGGCCCATGGAATAAAAGGGAACACCCTTACCCCAGATCCACAGAAGTGTCTATGAAACCCACAACAACTACTGAATTATTACAACTGCAAAAGGACATTGAACTATCATAATTCCTACTTGTCAATGCATTATGATATACATTGTTATATATTGCTAAAATCAATGAAAATACATACATATGTATGTGTATGTGTGTGTGTGTGTGTGTGTGTGTGTGAATGTATGTATGTATGTATGTATGTATGTATGTATGTATATATCCCAGTTTAGCTTGATTTCAAGTGCATAGGAAGAAGTGTGAGCCTAATTTGAAGCAAAAAGGAGAAATTTAAGAATAGGGGATCTGTGATACAAATGCTTTATAAAATGTTGGCCAGAATATTTTATAACCAAGATACATAACATGGCGAAGCAAAGGAGGAAACTGCAGTATTAAACATGATTTGCTGGAAAATGCTGAGAATAGTATCTGCAGAAGAATTCTCCTAAATTAGTGGAAATAAAACATTGGTGATCTACATCTAAAATAACTTGTTCTATTCTGTTTTAGAGATACATAGAAGAAAAATTCTTGAGTCTATTAATCTGAGTTCCCACCCCATCTCCTAGAACTTGCAAAGACAGGCTACACATCAAATTATGAATTCCAATATAACTTCAAAGATTTTTAATATCAGCTAAGAAGGCTGCAATTAATAAATCAAACAATTTGCAAGTTTGAGCCAAACTGATGACAAGGTATTTAAGAGCTGTATTTCTGTTAGATTAAAAAAGAAGGAAAGAAATCCCTCCCAAGCGTAAGGGAATCGTATTGGTGTTGTTCGTACATGTTCCTTGAAGCTTTGTTTGGCTTCCTCTTTCAGTTAGAAGGGTTATGCCTGCAGGCTGGAACTGTTGAGCAGAATGCAATCTGAAGTTAAAAGGAAGTGTCGCTGAGGAGCAAAAGACAAAAAGGGTAGCTCATCAAATTTTACGGATAAAAAGAAAAGTAAAATAGATCTGGCTCTTTTCCATCCCACCTGATTCAGAAAACTGGCACAACAGATAACCCAAGGGAACATATTTCTGCAAAGTTGGACTTGATAACATCACTTTTTAATTAGAGAAAATAATTATCTGGTCATGGACGTTATACTATTGGCTTGGCAAAGGATACATTTTGCTGTGATGGGGCGGAAACAATACACCCCATTAACTTCATATATAAACTTCAAAAGCCCACCAACCCAAGGCACTCTTTCTAAATCAGCTTGCTTACTGGCACAGCACAGGCCATCCTTCTTGCTCAAACACCATGGCGCTCTCTGTCCTCACATCAGGCTCTTCTCGGAAGACTTCCTCCTATAGTGTTGGAGGTGGCGGTGGAGGATCTGTTAGACTATCAAGTGGTGTAGGGTTTAGTGGTAGTTCCAAGTTCGCTGGAGGTTATAGTGGAGGAGGTTATGGTGGAGGAGGTTATGGTGGAGGAGGTTATAGTGGAGGAGGTTATGGTGGAGGGAGCCTGGCTGGAGGATATGGAGGTGGCAAGGGTGGTGGCTTTGCCAGTGGCAGTTTTGCAGGTGGCAGCTTTGCAGGTGGCAGCTTTGCAGGTGGCTTTGGCATGGGGGGAGGAGATGGAGGTCTCCTCACAGGCGATGAGAAGCACACTATGCAGAATCTTAATGACCGCCTTGCTAACTATTTGGGCAAAGTGCATGCTCTTGAAGAGGCAAACGCTGAGCTAGAACTCAAAATCAAGGAATGGTATACCAAATTCAGTACTCCTGACACTGATCATGATTACAGCAAGTATTTTACCATCATTGAAGATCTTCGGAACAAAGTAAGTTGCTCAAATATTTTCATAAAGTATTCTGACTTCAGTTGACACTCTTTCCAGGCTCAGTAGGCTGTCAGTAACATTTTACAACACCTTTTTACACTTCCTACTTAAGTTATTACAGTAATGGTTCTATTTTGCAGCATGGAATAGCTAGCTAGTAAAGTTTCCCACATCCCTCAAGCAGTCATTTCTTTCAAAGGCAAGAGGAGAACACACCACTGAATGCTTGGAGTATTTCATTCACAAACTGTCCTCCCTTGGGCATTTTAAAATTAAACTTGGTTTATTGACAATTTTGGAGTCAAAATCAAGTTCCAGAATGGATAGATTCATAGTAACTTATTTTTTATATTACTTGTTATATTTTTGTTACTGAAGTTGTAAAATGTATTTTTTATTCTTATTGATATTTAATACTTGTAAAATGCTTAGAGCCTATGAAGATTGAGGTGATAGATAAATTGCATGCATCAACTGATCACACTAAGGGCTAGCGGAAGATGGAATTAGGTCATTTATGGTTCAGGCTGTGGTGGGAGCCCAGTTCTTGGTTTAGCATATCCTGATTCAGATTTTTCAATTTAATTGTAATATGATTAGTGTAGACATAGCATGTTATGTGAACATAGCAACTGTGCTTTTAAAACTTGGATTTGTGGGAAGAGAAGGTGCAAGGAAAATGACCCTCTCTGAGCAGTCATAATTTTTGCAGAAAAGTGCCACTTTTTTTCCTAGATGTGAAGCTTCCATACAGAGAAATGCTACTGATCCAACACTATTACCTGCTTTGACTGGCAGTGTTTCTTTAAGACTGAAGGCACATCTCTAACCTGAACCTGAGCCCTGAGATTCTTATACTTGATAAAATATCAGGGACGAAGCTAGAATATTTTATACATACATTTTCTTCCAGGGAAAACTGCAGGGAATTGTCCAGGCAGTCACCAGGAATCAAAAATTGACTTGAAGCCCCCCCCCCCCCAAATTGGCCTATAGGCTTTATTCCTGAACTTAAATAACTTAGATAGCAAGTGTAAAGTTGACTTCCGTGTGTGTGTGCACGCACGCATGTATCTGTGTGCATGTCTATATTCTTTCATTCATTCTTTCAATCTTTGGTGCGAAGTGTCCAGAATTTCAGGGAATGAATGTATTTCTTTTAAATGTTTGATTACAGATATATCAACATACAATTGAAAATGCTGGGATTATTTTACAAGTTGATAATGCTCGACTAGCTGCTGATGATTTCAAACTTAAGTAAGTAATGCATTTCCACTCAGGAAAGGAAAAGAAGAGACAGATGTCTCCCTTTCCCCCATCCTGCTACCTCTCCAGCTTTTTAAATTGCTCTTGATTCTAAATCCATCTGCATTCTTTAAATGAAGAATATAAATGAAAATGTCATTCTTCTATTAACTTTAAAGGTATGAAAATGAGTTGTTCCTACACCAAAGTGTGGAGAGTGATATCAATGGCTTACGCAGAGTCTTGGATGACTTAACCATGAGCAAGTCTGACCTAGAGCTGCAGATTGAGAGCCTGAATGAGGAACTTCTCTACCTGAAGAAGAACCATGAAGAGGTGGGAAAAAAGTTTTGCTAAAGCTTCTGGGAGATATTTTATCAGGGATATATTCCTGACCCTGGCAGACTTAGCTGGTGTTAGATTTTACACCCAAAATTCTGACAGGAACACTTCTCTTTTGATGAAAAAGCACAATATTTTGTTCATTTCCAAATATCACTTTCCAGATCCTCCTGCTCACACAGCTGAATTTCTGTCCCCGAATCCTAACCTAACAATAGAGACTGGTCACTGGTGATGTAACCATCTGGGGGGAGCAGGGAGGTTCTGGTACTGAGTAGAACCTAGTTATAATTCCATGCAAATAGTTCACTTTTATAGCACTATTCCAGAGAATTGAAACAATGCTTAAATCCATAGGCCCTAGAATACTCAAACATTGCTAAAGCACTTTTGCTGCAGCTGTACACTGCTGTAAGAGAAACTTTTCAGGTCTTACTCATGAAAAAGCAATGCCCTTTGCTCAGGATTTTCCCAAACCTGGAGCCAAACCTGCCACTGCAACACTTTACCTTAGAAGCAAATGGCTTTAGCCTCTTAAATTCTGGGAGAGAGAGAGAGAAAAAAACCCTCACTTTTTCCAGGCAAAGTGTAAAGTAGATGAATGACAAACAACAAGCAAATATTGTAGTTTCTGAGTGATTGATTCAGAAAATGGTGTACAACAGACATAAATTATGTCAATTGTCATTGTCTTTGCTCCTAAATATGTTCTCAGAGTGTTTCCATACCAAGTGTTTTGAAAAATCCTAGCTGTTGAAAAACTAGAACTACAATCGTATGTGATCAGGGTTTCTGAATCTGGATAACTTTAAGACGTGTGGATTCAATTTCCAGAATTCCCCAGCCAGCGCGGGAATTGAAGTCCACACATCTTAAAGTTGCCAAGGTTGAGAAACCCTGGTGTAGATAATAATGTGTTGCTTTGAAACAGTAAACTTATACACTGTGCTAACAATGGACTTTCAAAAGGAGTTGTAAGAGATTCTCATTCTAACCTTCTCTCCCCTTTCTAAATGCAATGGAAATTCCTGACTCCACCTATGCCTGCCATCTAGTGGCCAAATGAAAACATTTTGCTATAATATACTGTATTCTTAAGCATCCCACATTATAACCCAAGGCCCATCTATTTATCCATGGTTGCTTTGGTTTCCTCTTCAAATCTGTCCTTTCTTTATTCACAACTTCTATTACCCCCACCCTCATCTTATTACTTAGAACAGTGGTGGAGAACCTATGACCTTCCAGATGTTAGAACAGAACTTCAATTACCAGTGTGCCTTAACACTGGCCATGCTAGTTTGATCGCTGAGAATTATCATACAGCAGAAGTCACAGGGTCCCCATTCATGAACGTAATCTGAGCTTTCTGTTTTCTAGGTCCGTATATTGATAATGCAACAAAACAAATCAATGTTTCTCTTTAGGAATGAGTCTTCAAATTCAGAAAAATTAGAGCTGAATTTTATTCTGGGGGTGACGGAGGAAACTGTAATTCAGGAATCCTGTACATTTCCCAGGCTAAACTCTCTCTTTAAAACTGCCTACAGTTTGCTGACAGTGTAAAAAGGATTAAGTGAAAACTCTGTTGTAAAGCAAAATACTTAGTATCGAATCACCTCTCCCCAGTGGTCTCTGCCCATCCTATAAGAACTGATAGGGCTGGCATGCTCCAGACTCCTTCAACAAAACAGTGCCATCTTATAGGACCTTGGATGTGTGCCTTCTCTGTTGCTGCCTCAGCCCTTCAGGACAGTATTGCCCCTGAACCCTGGAAGGCTATGGTCCTGCTGTTTTTTAGGAGGCTGGTTCTTCCAGTAGGACCTGGTCCATGGTAATTTGTGAGCCCACCTGAACTATGTGATATTTTTATATCACACACCCCCCCTTTTTTTTGGCTTTCTTCATTTATTGATTGATTTAGGACTGGTTGTCTTGGGTCATTGGTGATTTGGTAGCGTATTAATTGAATAAATAATAAATCATCACAATCATTTAAATGGATTATGCCAAGCCTAAGGTGGCAACTGTCTCAGGCAGCAGATGCTAAGGGGAAGCAGTTGTTTTTTCCCTCTGAGGGAGGATATAGCTACATGTACTACACTGCTAGTCCTGTGCCCTCTAAACTGTTGTTCTTCCTTTAGATGCTAGATATCACCCATATTGAAGGAAGATTCATCTGGGAATGTTCTTCTGTACATAAAATGGTGAAGAGGCACTATCTTCACCTCAGAATAAAAAATATCTTAGAGATATCCCCAAGGCCAGAATACAGCATCTCCTCTATTGTCCATCAATTCTTGTCATATAATGGTCACAATGTATGTTGCTATTAAAAATCCATCGGGCTTCTCCTATCACAGGAATTGATGAGTTTCCGAGGAATGACTGGTGGTGATGTCACTGTCGAAATGGATGCCGCTCCTGGAGTTGACTTGACTAGACTCCTGAATGAAATGAGAACTCAATATGAAGAACTTGCAGACAAAAACCGGAGAGAGGCAGAAGAACAGTTCAACAAACAGGCAAGAGCAATCCACTTGAACATCAATCCCAGAAAATGTTCTAATTATCTAGCCCACTAAAAACTTGTCCTCTGACTTGTCTAGGTTGGAACACTGAGGCAAGAGATATCTGCCAATGTGGACCAACTGAGTTCAAGCAAAAGTGAAATTACTGAACTGAGGCGCACCATGCAAGGCTTGGAACTGGAGCTTCAGGCTCAGCTTGCTATGGTAAGTGTACTGCCATACCAGCTTGATTTCTTCTACATGAAAACACTACAGTGATACAAGTTTAACTTCCCAGCCTAACCTACAGCCTGGTAGTCCATCTCTCCTTAGATTTCTGGAATTAGCCAAAGCTGATTGGGTGCTGCCCCCTACCTGCGGGTTGTATTCCCTTACCTGGGTTTATCCGGAACTAAGTCCTACTGAAGTTAATAGGACTTACTTCCAAGTAAACATGAGATTACAGCTTTGTACTTGTAAATGTCCTTCTGGATGGCAAATTATAGATAAGGACATTTTGTATGATTCATTTGAAAGGATGTATATCAACCAAATTTTACTACAGCCTGAGGCCAGCACTTAAGAACAAACAAAACAGACAAACGAAACATCAGAGCCCTTCTGGCCTATTTACCTAAAAATTAAGATACATAATAATTAAATAAGAATATAAGTGATAGTCTTAAAGTTTATGCTACAGAGGTCATCATCCACTATGTTCTAAAAGCTAACAAGCAAAATTTGGAGATATTATATACAGTATGTAATGTAGTAATTCTTACTGACTAAAAGAAAAGCTATATAAAATCTTCTGCCCAGTCTAGAATCACTACTAAAGAAGGAAAAATTAGCTTGACAATATAGTAGAACATGAGTGATTTTTTCAACCTCTCCCTTGCCACACAGGCTATATATTCATAATACTATTTTAAAAATCAGTTGACAGTCCAGAAGTTTCTTCCAAACCGTTTTTCTCCTTCAGTAATTGGTGCTTCATTTTTCTCCTTCTTCCTCTGCCTGTCTCTCAACAGAAACAATCTCTTGAAGGTACTTTAGCAGAAACAGAACGAAATTACTGTGATCAGCTTGGCCAAATACAGGTTCAGATCAGTAGTTTGGAAGAACAACTTCTGCAGATCCGGTCAGATATGGAAACCCAAAACATCGAATATCAGCAACTGTTGGGAATCAAGACACGTCTGGAAAAGGAGATTGAGACCTACCGTCGTCTACTGGATGGAGAAGGGGGGTAAGGAAGTTGCAGCATATGCAGTTGAAGAAAATGCAGTCTTACATCAGAATAGAGTAAGACGTTTTATAGCATCTGAAAGACACATTTATTATGACATTTGCTTTCACAGTATATAAATATCAGCCTACCATCCAGTTAATCTCAGAACAAATTCTGAAGCTCTGAGCCTGTAGTATGTTCCACATGGCAATTTACATGATATACATGAATCACTTCCATTACGTTCTGTAGGAAAACCTCTTCCAGAAAAATCGAAACACAATAGGACTGATGATAATAATGATGATTTATTAGATTTAATATAGCTGCTCACTCCAGTAGATTGTGGATGGCTTACAAAATATAATACTAAAGTAAAACAATTAAATACATAAACAAAACAAGACAGCCCAGACTAAAATAAACATTAAAACAAAGCACAATACCACCACCCCCCCACAAAATATTAACCCCACGCCAGGGACCAAAGCCAGGTTTCAAGGGCTTTTCCATAATCCAGGAGAGAGGGCATTGCTCATATCTTGGGGGGGGGGGGGCGTGCTGTTCCAGAGGATGGGGGCTACGACAGAGAAGGCATGCTTCCTAGGTCCCATAAGATGACAACGTTTAATAGAAGGGACCTGAAGCACACCTACTCTGCTCAAATGTACCAAAAGTATTGATATAACCATTACTTTTAAAATTTGATCATAGTGATGTTTACTCTCTTTAGCTATATGCTGAAAAGCCAAGCACAACATACACAAGAAGTCCTACTCTATAGTTCACTCATCACCTGGCACGGATCATAAAACAGCACTTGTACAGGTTTAAAATGCACACAAATCCAATTCTTCACCACCTTGGAAGATTGTTTTTCCTGAGCTGTAGACATGGTTGGAACAAATACTCCAGCACATATCCTTGCCACAGTCCCCTCTACAACTCATACTTCTCTCCAAAGAGGAGAAACCTAGATTGGCTGGCCATACCAAGTATCCCCTCCCTTTCCCAGAGGATCTCAAAAGAGTTTCTCTCCCAAAGTTAGTCCCCAGTCCTCCCATGATCAGGAAGCTCCAGAAAGCCTTTCCCCACTTGCATCTAACCTCAGTGCAAATGTGCTCTAACAACATAATTTTCCTGCTATGTCCCCATGGCATGTTCCTTTCATCATGTTTTCAATCCATTAGTGCCACAGACTTAGCTGTACCGTCAACCTTAACTGTACTGATGCAAAAGTAGTATTTCTCCATTCTTCCAACACCATTCAAGACAGCCTAAAGGTGTAGAAAATCTGCTAGACTTTGTCACCTTAGACAGAAAGCAGTATTACAATTATTTGTAACAGAGGCAATAAAGGCAGAACAGGGATCAGCAATAGGGACAGCCAATGTCATGCTGATAGAGGTTGTGGCAATTCAAAGATGGGTGGAGAAATCAGTGGGAATGAGCTTAGAAGAGATGCCAGCACCATGACATCCACATTGGGAAGTTGACAACGATAAGGGCAACACAGGAAAGAGACAACATTTTATAAAGCCCAGTGCTTTGCAAATCCCATGGGTGGTACTGAGGCAGAGCTGTGTATTTACAAAAAATAAATTTTCTTTACAGAGGGTATTCAACAACTGTCTACAGTTCAGGACCTCCTCTGAAAGGTAATGCATATATTTCTATAAAGTCTTGCTTCCAGTACTCACTTCCTGCTTCTTTCGTTCACATTAACAGCACACTGCCTCTCTTGTCCCCAAATACCTTGCAACATTTTTGCAATTTCCCCTTTCATTTTGATGCTCCCATTCCTTAATTCCAGGTCCGCTATGTATGGAGGCTCCCATACAGGTGTATCTAGGTCTTCTTTCTCCAAGGCATAGCCCCTGGGTGGGTGATGGAATTGTGCTGTGTATATTGGAGACCATGACTGCAAGGAAGCTGGGCATACAGGGGTAACCCCTGAACTGGGATGATCATATCACTCTGCCTCACAAATTTAGAGGACCCGAACCATCCCTATGGAAAGACAATGACTATTAAACTCATACATATTGTAGAAGTATCTTGTGCTTCCAGCCCTCATCATTACTTAATGATAGATGCTACTCGGCTGAGTATCAAAGCTATGTCTAAAGGAATACGGTACAGAGTTGGCCATGGGCATAATAAAGGAATGAACAAGCCATTAAAGGGGTATTTATAGAAAAGATTACACAGTCCTGAGAAGAGGGAAGCATGAGAAAGAAATTCAAAATAGCCCTGCCTTGATTTTGTTTAGTATAAGATGGGACAGAGAGAAACTTGAACAGGCTTTCAACATTCTGTTATCTACCTTATTACAATAAAGAGCATTAACCTTGCTATGCCTCTTTCCTGACCTGGCCCACCTTGAAGGGCTGACAGTATGATACCTGTTCCATATGCCTGAAACTTATGGGAAGACTGCAGGTTTGCCCATGTTAATGTGTTTGGTTTCAGATATTTCATCCTCATTATTAATGCAATACCAAAACTTATTTTCTTTTCTTAGTGTTGAATTAAATATTGGCTGTGCTTACACATGACACTGAGCCATGGTTCTTTTTAACCATGTCTTGTGGAACAGCACATATTGACCTGATTCATGCATAACATTAAATCAAAAGCATAAAAAGTATGTATTATATCTTAAACTAATGTATGAACCTAGCCAAAATCAGAAGGATATAATTCAAATCAGACATGGAATGGAATTTTTTAAATATAGTGTGACACCTATCCTTACTTGCATTTTTCTATAGCTATTTTTCTTCCCAGTGGGCTTATTTCCACTTAGATTCTCATAGAGAGAAAAACCATGGTGGAGAAGCTATTTTTAATATTGAGACACATCTCTGGAGGTAGCCAGTAATCTTCATGATGACTAATAGCTACTGATACCCTCCATGACAGCCTTATTCTCCCATTCCTCCACAATATCAAGAGGAACTGGCAACCTAGGTTTTATCCACAAGTTTGCTCATTATCACATCTTGTTAGGAGAATTAATCTGTGATATTTGATAACGGTCTATTTCTATAGAGCATAAAATAAGTATAACATGCAAAATAATAATAGCATGTCAGAATCTTGAACACCCATATGATTATACTGTATATATTTTATTTCAGAGTCAACAAAAACCAGAATGGTTAAGACAATCGTAGAAGAAATGGTGGATGGCAGAGTTGTTTCATCCCAAATCAAATCAGTTGAAGAGAAGCCATCTAAATAAATACCAGGATATTGCAAAAATAACCTTTTCATTTTATAAACATTCTAACACAGAAACAAGAAAGAGCTTCTTCAAGAGCTAGGCGTAGAAATCATTCTTTTTTTTAATAAGTTTTTTTCCTTTAAAAAATTCTCATTTCTATCTACTTTTCTTTATGCAAGCCTCTAAAGTGCACCTCAAAATGTGTTTTCTTTTAGCTTGAGTAGTTTAATAAACTTTTTCACTATTTGCAAGTTACAAAAATGTTGTTGTGCTCATTGTCAATATTCTCCCTTACAGTCCCCAACCATGTTCTATTCACAGCATTTTATCAGAATGGGTTTATTTCAATAAGTTCAATAAGATGCTCTACATTTTAGGCATTCCTATGAAAAGCAGCCTCTCTACTGCTAATTCTTTACTTTCTATTGCTACATTTAATGTGCAAAAAAGATTTTTGGGGATTCTAATTCAAGGAGTGTCGAATAGTAAACGCTTTGTTTTTACCTTACAACAGAGATGCATATTTTTTTCAGGACAATAATTTGAGCAGTAAATTAGGAGCCATCTCTTCCCCCCACACAAAGTAGGACTAGCTGGACAAAAAGTGGGCAGAGTCAGGAAACAAACTTTATTTGACTTAATGTATATTAATTGAGCATTAATTAAATTGAGTTGACATTATTACTCCCCACGTATCACCTTCTATCACAGAAAAGAAATACAACTTGGTGGCAACTTTTAGATGCGCTTCTATCCTATGAAGTGACATGCCCTAACTTTTGCTTGTGTAATCAAGTATGTGTTTAGTAATACTGCCATGTGATGTGTAATCTCAAGCTCAATTCACCTGTCTCTTTGCAGAAGAGAGAAGCAACTAGAGACTCTGCAACAAGATCAAACAATGCCATTTACGCCACTCTTGTATATCTTCCCATGCAACATCTTTCTTAAATGCCATTTAAGTTACCGTTGCATATCTTGCCATGCAACATCTTAATCTGGTATCTTCCATATGTGGTGAGAATCCTCAGAATTTGTATCTGCAGGGAACCTAGTTCGAAAAGTTGCCATACATTTTTTTCCACATGAGGTTAAGATCCAAGTTATTGCAATTGCTAGCATGAAACATTTATTAGAGTAGGACCTTACCTACTCTATTTGTGTAAATAAGGCAAAAAAGTACAAAGTCTAAAACACTAATTAAAATTTAACAGAAGGGCAGCACCACAATGAAATAAAACCCTACATTCATTAATCTCCAGATTACAGGAGGGAGTAGCTCATTGGAAGGATCGATAATGAAACTCAAGCTCAGATACTTTGGTCACCTAATGCGAAGAGAGG